ATCACCAGTCACATCCACAACTGGGTATTGTTTTTGCTTTGGCTCTATCCCTTCATTCTTTCTGGAGTTATTTCTCCACTGAACTCCAGTAGCATATTGGGCACCTACCGACCTGGGGAGTTCCTCTTTCAGTATCCTATCATTTTGCCTTTTCATACTGTTCATGGGGTTCTCAAGGCAAGAATACTGAAGTGGTTTGCCATTCCCTTCTCCAGTGGACCACATTCTGTCTGACCTCTCCACCACGACCAGTCCGTCTTGGGTGGCCCCACACGGCATGGCTTAGTTTCACTGAGTTAAACAAGGCCGTGGTCCATGTGATCAGATTGGCTAGTTTTCTGTGATTGTAGTTTCAGTCTGTTTGCCCTCTGATGTCCTCTCTCAGCGCCTACCGTCTTACTTGGGTTTGTCTTACCTTGGACATGGGTATCTCTTCACGGCTGCTCCAGCAAAGCGCAGCTGCTGCTCCTTACATTGGAAGTGGGGCAGCTCCTGTTGGCCACCGTCCCTGACCTTGGACGTGGGGCAGCTCCTGTTGGCCACCGTCCCTGACCTTGGACGTGGGGCAGCTCCTGTTGGCCGTTCCTGCGCCATTGCAGCCACTACGCTCCTTGGACATGGGGCCGTTCCTGCGCTGTTGCAGCCGCCACACTCATATATAAATCATATAATACAACATTCTATCCCAGGTATAATAAAATTTAAATAAAAGTTTTAAAAAAAGGTAAACAAAGTTGAGAAGACAGAAGGCCTTTAAGTCAGTTTATTCAAAACTCATTTGAGGACATATTCATTGTTTTTTCCATATCTGTAAATTAATTTTTAGGTTTTCTATTTTTCTTATCTTCAGTAATAACATCTGTGATATCATGAGCTTATGTGCTATTTAATTGACAGTTTGTTGAAACTTACATTAAAATAATTCTTAAAAACTATTAAAACACTCTTCCATGAATTACTTAAACTGATACCACTTATCACACTATATACGTTGGGAATACTCATCTATATAGATAACAAAGAATTACTGAAATGCTTAGTGTGGTGGAGTAACATGATTAAATTCGCATTACAGAGAACAACCCAGCAACAGTGCAGAAAATGGATTTGAGGAAGATGAGGTTGATCTCAGGAAGACCAGTTAGGGAACTCTTAAGTTACCTAGGCAAGAAATTATAGGGGTCCAAATTAGGACATAAAAAATAGGTGTTATTTCAAGTACCTGCCAGATAGTAATTAGGTACCAAGAGTTCAATAGCTGACATGGCTGACAAAGTCCCTGACCACATAGTTTATATTCTAATTGAGGAGGTTTACATTCTAGTTGAGAGTGTGGGAGGAGATAAACAATAAGCAAGGAAGGATACAAAGGTAAGTAATCTCAAGTAAATAAAATAGAAAAATGATGTGTTGGAGGGTAACTAACTGGAGGAGATAGGGGGCAGTGAAGTAGAGATGGGGTGAGGGCTGGATAGTTTGATTACTTTAAATTAGGGATCAGAATTGACTTTTCTAAAGAGATGACTTTTGAGTTGAGACTCAATAACGAGAAGGAGCTGACCATGAGTAGGAGAGAGGGAGAAGACTGAGTTTTTGAAATATATAAGAGATAGAGTCAGGTGGTTGAGATACCAACTAGGTAAGAGAGAAGGAAGACTCGAGGATTACCTAATTTCAGAGATACTCTATTTATCAGAACTTTTATGCTCCACATAACCGGGGCTTTTTCCAAATTCCACGTAGCTATACTTTACTTTCACTCTAATTCTCTGTTATTTAACTTGATATTTATCACAAGTTTGAATATTGGGCCTATCTTTTTTTGAAAAAAATTATTATTCATCACCTTTTGTTTTACTGACAAAAATTATCATCCAAAATGTGTTCATAATTTCATCTCAAATAAAGCAATGACTTATTTGATTGTCAAGTCTACCCTGGTATTAACCATGTAAAACATGCTTTTAAAAACTATGAACAAAAGTTTTGAATTGGTGAATTTAAATGAAAACTTACAAACAGAAAAAAAAAATCTGCTGATTTCTTCCCAAATAAATTAATATAATCCCCTAGGGTTTGTTTAATGCAATTTTATGCTAAATATATTCAATATTATGTTGGAGTGATGACTTCCTTTAGCAGTATTGCAAACTGCATACAAAAAGCATTTAATTATGAATGCCATAATTTGCTCAATTGGTGCCCCTCTTTTATCTGCAAACCATAGATAATTTTCCCTAAATAAATGCACCCATGAAAATAATATTTAAAACAGAAAATAAAAATATACTTGCTTGATATAAACCAAATACTGCATAGTCAAAATTAACTGCCCTCATGGCAAATAAGCATCTTGTAAATTCATATTGCAAAAGCATCATCTGTTCATTTAGGAACTATTTCCCAGATAAGATTTAGAGGCTGTATTTTTATAAACAACTTGGGGATTTTATTTTCAATGTGAAGCTGATTTTAAAGTAATATTAAAATTATACTCATTTGTATATTTTTAATACTTTTCAGCAAGCCATTAAATGATAACCAATGGCACCTGATTTTATGCACAATGAATTCAAAATGAGTATAAATTTCATTCTCCTCCCCCAAGCCAGATTTTATTCCAAAGACAGAGCTTATTGTCTCAAAAGGAGTTCCCCAATGGAAAAGATAATGAAGTGGAGAAAAACACTTAGAAATTTCAACCCTCCCTTTTTTTTTTTTGTCTTTTATGAATTCATGTTCTTAACTCTCACAGTTGTTCAAGTTTGCACTTTCAAGTTTTTCTTTTCCTTTTAAAAATATTTTATTTTTATTGAAATATAGTTGACTTAAAGTGTTGTGTTAGTTTCAGATGTACAGAAAAGTAATTCAGTTATTCTTGTATATACATATATATTTTTTCAGACTCTTTTCCCTTATAGGTTATTACAAAATATTGAATTCCCCTTGCTACACCATAGGTCTTTGTGGTTATCTATTTTATGTATAGTAGTGTGTATATGTTAGGCTTCCCAGGTGGAGCTAGTGGTAAAGAATCCGCCTGCCAATGCAGGAGACATAAGAGATGTGGGTTTGATCCCTGCATCGGGAAGATCACCTTGAAGAGGGCATGGCAACCAATGCCAGGATCCTTGCCTGGAGAATCCCATGGACAGAAGAGCTTGGTGGGCTATATAGTCCATAGTGTCGCAGAATCAGACTTGACTGAAGTGGCTGGACACACGTGCACTGTGTATATGCTAACACCAAACTCCTGACTTATCCCTCCTCCTGCTTTCCCCTTTGATAACCTTGTAGTTGGATGATATTTATGTTTCTTTTATATATCTGTGGGTCTGTTTCTATTTTTAATATAACTTCATTTGTATCTTTTTTTTTTTTTTTAGTTTCCACATATAAGCAATATCATATGACATTTATCCTTCTCTTTCTGGCTTACTTCACTCAGTATGACAGTCTCTAGTTCCATCCATGTTGTTGCAAATGGCGTTATTTCATTCCTTTTTGTAGCTGAGTAGCATTCCATTGTATAAATATCTTTACGCAGTTATCTGTTGAGGAACATTCGGGACACTTCCATGTCTTGGCTATTTTAAATAGTGCTTCAGTGAACACTGGGGTGCATGTATCTTTTTGAATGATGGTTTCCAAATCCAGATGCATGCCTCGGAGCAGGATTGCTGAGTCATATGGTAGTTCTATTTTTAGTTTTGCAAGGAGCCTCCCCACTTGCTCCATAGTGGCTGTATCCATTTATGTTCCCACCAACAATGCAAGAGGGATTCCTTTTCTTCACACCCTCTCCAGTGGTTATTACTTGAAGACTTTTTGATAATAGCCATTTGGACCAGTGTGAGGTGATAATTCACTGTAGTTTTGATTTGCATTTCTCTAATAATTAGTGAAGTTGAGCATCTTTTCATGTGCCTTTTGTACGTCTTGTATGTCTTCTTTGGAGAAATGTCTGTTAAACTCTCCTGCCCATTTTTGAATTGAATTGTTTTTTGATATTGAGTTGTATGAGTTGCTTACATATTTCACAGATTAATCCCTTCCTGGTATTATGCCTTTCTGTTACATATCTCACTTTATACCACTACAAGGATATGGATCATTTTATGATCACTATCTTTTTCTCCAGCTCTCCAAGGGTCTGAGTCAGGTGGTGAACACTGACTTGGACCACAAACTACAAAAGGGTAAACTCTGTGTAATGGCCATCACAGAAGAGGCCAGGATGGCATAGAAACAGCAGCTAACCACTTATGTGCTTTAAACATGGAAGGAACTAAGGATGAATCTGGTTTGATTTTTATCCAACCAAGATTCCCACTTCTACTTATAACAAAATGGACAAGATCTACCCAGGGATGTGTCTTCTTAACAACTCAGGGCTCCCTGGCCCTCTTGTCAAAGCTCGAAACACTTACCTCATAGTTCTGCTCTGAATTCTAGTAACTGTTCAGAAAAACAAAGTTACTTTTGATATGGTTACTGCTGAGATTGCTGTTTATAGAGATTCTTTGTCACTTTAAAATACACAACTTCCATGAGTTTTAAATGAAAGATTTATATAAACAGTTTTCAAAAGCAAGCCAAGAGTTCTTTTCATATTCCTTATACCTATTTTTCAAGTTTATTGAGTTATGCATGCTAATAAATTTGGAATATAATGTCAGGGTAGCTAGACTATAGTAAAAAGAGCTACAACCTCAGGATAAGAGAACTTGTGTGTGAGTCCCACTTCTAGTGATTATTTTGGTTGAGTTACTTACACTCCCAAATACTACAACCTACCTCTGCACCTTGGTGTCTGCCATTCCCCTCATGGATCTCCCAGCGATCAGTTGGCAGCCACTCCATTTTCCCATGCCATCAGTACTTTCCTTTTTCTATATCTTTATTTGTATTTGTCTCCTCTGCGTGCAATGCATATCAGTCATTTCTACTTATCTCATTTGTACCCATTCTCTAATTCTCAAATCTTTTCTCAGACTTTATTTCATTTTCCACTGAGGCCCACAAAGTTTCTTAAATGGTACGTGTGTTATAATGTATCTGATCACATGTTTCCTGTCTATATCTCCTCAACAGGATGGACCTTATTTGATTATTCTCTTACTCCAGTGCCTTGGTATGATATGTATATTTATTGAAAGATAGGGTGAATGAATGAATAGCCAAAGGAATCTTTATTTTCTTGGTGGTAAAATGGGGAATAGCACTTACCTTACAGATTATCCTAATGTTATATTTAATTAGATATTGTCAATGAATACCCTCTGTAAACAATAATGTACCTCAAAAAGTAAAATATTTTAATACTATCCTATTAAAGGAACTAAAGTAGAACTAACTTAGGAGGTGCTTGTTGCAAAATTCAGGTTTAAATTGAAGAAAGTAGGGAAAACCACTAGGCCATTTGGGTATGACCTAAATCTAATCCCTTATGACTATACAAACAAATTCAAGGGATTAGGTCTGGTAGACAGAGTGCCTGAAGAACTATGGATGGAGGTTCAAAACATTGTACAAGACATGGTAACCAAAACCATCCCAAAGAAAAAGAAATGCAGTAAAGTAATTAGCCTCCAACTAATAAAAATTAATAAAAAAAAAAAAGAAAGAAAAAAAAATAAAAATAAAAGGATAAGATGGGAGAGAGAGAAAAAAAAATAAATAAAAGGAT